GTTAGAAGATGTGAATATATATATATATATATATATATATATATATATATATATATATATATTCAAACAGGTTTGGTTAAATAATTTAGACATATGTCGATTAGTTTTCGTTGTGATCCTTTCAAGTTCGGGTTAATTTTTTGGTAGATTTAGAAAATTGAGTAAGAAAAATACCAAAATTTTCTTTCGAATAGGTTTTATTTTTCACAAATACTTTCAATAGCAAATACCGTAGTTCAGTGTGGCAATGCATATAACTCATCGCTACGTCTTGCAGATGACCTACTCATAGTTGATGTTCGAGTCTATATTCAAAAATTAGATTAGAGAAAGTCGGTCGTATTTCTACACAGCACCTCTCTTTTTAAGATACAGATTCTTTTTTGAAGACGTATTCCCTTCTTTTTGGGTTTAGTTCCAACGGGTTACTTTTTCTTTATAATTGGAGTTGGCAAGTCAACAGTATTATACGGCACTTCCATGGGTAAATCTCTTTGATCGATTTATATTTCTTTAGCCTATCTTGGTTATACTTGTTTTAAATACTTTTTATGTCACTAATTTCGACCGTGTACCATATACATCATACTACCAATGCGATTTACTATTACACCATCTTCCCAACTTTCCTTTCCTGCCTTGTAAATCCTGATGAAAACCTTATTTCCTGCTTTGAAAGATTTTATTTTTTCGTACTATGCCTAATTTTCATTTTTCTTCAAGGTAGTAATTTGTCAAACACCTATTTAATTATCTTGGCAAACATTAACTCCACTAGTGATATCTTCGATGCAGTAGTACGGTTTGGAAACATTGTTATATGCTTAACTGCATAGCGGTTAGAAAAAGTTTGAAGGTCATTCGAAGTCAACTAAGTGCCATTATCGGACACTATATATCTGGAACTTCATATCTCGAAAGCAGTTCATGAACGAAGCAGGTTTTTTACACTTAAATATTTCAAGCCATTTTAAAAACTATTGGCGTCAATCAAGTAATATTGCACCATTCAACTGTCCCGCGTAATCAACATGCAACCTAGACCAAGGTTTATCAGTATTAGTCAAGGGTTGATAATTTACAGATGGTAATTTTGCCTCTATAGTACAACCTCTACAATACATGTCTGAACCAAGTTTTGTATATCCTGGTTCATTTTAGGCCAATACCCGTAACTTCTTGTAAAGGATTTAATTCTTGACATTCTAGAATGTCCAACATGAAACTACTTTAAAATTCATTTTATGCAAGGAAGCAGGAATTATTACTCTTTCAGCTTGCATCAGTAATTCAACAGGTAGAAAAGACTTATTTTTTAATAACACCTGGTTTATTTTTTCTTTCTTACCATCTTCCTTTTACATCATTCATCATTGTTAAAATGTAATCATCCTACTTGGATTTTATTTTAAGTTAGTCTAAAATCAGGGATAGATTCTTTATTGTGTTACACGAAACATATTTTTATCTCATTTTCAGAAATTAAAAATGCCATCACCATGTCTTGAAAAGGTTCCTTAAATTTTGGGATTAATCTGGACAAACCATCTGCATGTCTCAATTTCTTTGATGGTAAATATTCCATCTTAAAATCATAGTTTAGTGAAATCGTTCCCCAACTTTGCAACTTATATGTGTCGCAATACCATTTTTAGAACCAAAAATAGTGAATAATAAATGATGATCTGTTTGCAGAATAAACTTTCTACCGTGTATCCCTTTGGGAATTATTTTTCTATGCAAAAATAATAGCTAGCGCTTCTTTTTCGATTTGACTGTAAATTCTTTCAGCAGCTATTAGCGTTCTATATGCACGGCCAACTGCATTTATTTTACCATCCTGGAATTTAAAAAGGAAAGTTCAGTGGCAACGTTTCTTTTTTTATTATATTTTATATTTGTTTTATTTGAGTACAAATGTTCTGGACTTAGCCCTAGAAAACTAACCACGGGTATATAGTGCCCAGCGCAAATTTTCCTATTTTTAATTAAAATTTTCAGTACCTGATTGTCTTACCTAAATAATAAGTTTTTCAGTTCCTATTAATGTTCACTCAAAGTGAAAAGTTTTAAGTGCCTGCATGTAAAATATTTTAAATAAAAATGTATATTTAATATTTTTTTGATATTTTCAACATCGGGTATGATATACCCATGGTTAGTAGTGTTGTAACTTTAATTGATAGTTAGTGTTCTAGGGTTAATGAATATAAAGACTTCGTATGACACAAAACCAAAAGTAAGATGCATCGAATATCCAACGTCTTACACGAGATTTGAGGATGGTTGATTGTTAGTGTGGTTGGAATAACTGACATACATGTACGTTCGGAATGACAAGCAATATTTGAAATGAAATGGCAATAAGGAATTATATATTTAAAAAAGTTAGAAATACGAAAATCATTGAAACTATAAAAGAGTGAATGAAGATTTTTGTGAATGAAATAAAGGAGAAAAGATTAAAATGAAATAATTGTATTATTACTGAATCCTGACCAATGTGGATAATGCAGGATATGCATGTAATGTCAAAAGTACGCAGGTGTAGGCTTTAAGACAGCTTTATTCAACTGGGAATACAAAGTTCGCGTATAATGTCCTTTTATAGTCCCAGTAAACAGAAATAGCCCTCTCAAAGAGGAGAGTAACAAAATAAGTGGAGACCACTCTTGATTATTCATAACAATACACTGCGTATTTTGAGGCCAAAGTACACATTTTTAATCATTTCACCCCAAGCAATGCGATAATGCCACTAGGACGAATGGGTGTACTGGGAGTTAAAGAGAATGAGAAGACTTCAGTAAGGAAAAGCGAGGAAAAGGAAAACAATGGAATATGATTCATAAAGTCAGAAGGTAACGATTGATAATGCATTTAAATTTTTGAATATTGTAGCTGATAGAGAAACAAGGAATCGAGAGTGAGTTCCACAGATGAGAAGTACGAGAAAAGAAACTATTATAATAGAACTGACGGCTACATCCTGCTATTTAAACAGTAAAACGGTGAGACCTAGTTGCCAATCGAGTAGCACGCTTAAATTCATGCAGTCGAGGTACTATAGAGAATGGCTTATCAGAACAATTGCCATGAAAATATTTCTAGAAAGGATAGAAGGAAGTTTCGTCACGTCGGTTAGAAAGTTAGACTCTTTGAAGTTTGGCAAAACTCACAAGATATATAGCTGAAGTATCAGACAAGCTATGGCATCAATATTCAGTGCATGGATGAAGGGTAGATTTATAGATGTGCAAGGTGGATTTTGACGAAAAAATTGTCTGGCACGACACAGCGAACGAACTTTTCAAGTAGCAGACCTAAGAATTGATTCAATATAATCATTCCATTTCATGTCAGTGAGTCCCAGAAGACGAAACAATATTGCCCTTCTGGACGTTAACATCAGCCATGATGACAGCAGGTAGAAAAGTTTCTCTGTGATGATTGACTGAAAGCAATTTTCTTTTGGAGGCGTTCAAATTAACAAGCAATTCTTTGCCTCAGTTAACTACTGAGGGGTTGTTCTTACCGAGAGCAGTTGCTAGTCATACTTTGTCGGCTCCGTCGGACTTGCTATTAAGACAGGAGTAAATAATTGTGTCATCTGCGTAGATATCTAGTTGGAAACTAATGACATCGGGAAAATAATTGCTGAAGCTCAGAAAGGACTGAGGATTGAACCCTAATGTATCCCTGCATTAATATGAAATAAACTAAAATCGTATCCATTCAATACAACCTCCTTTACACGATTTGTTATGAACGATTGGATTAAGCCAGATATTTGTCCAGAGACACTGTAAGCATTGGGCTTGTGGTGAAGGGCTGTTAAAACATACCGAATGATTTTGAGGTATCTAGGGCTACAGATATTTCCGATCTAAAGCTTGTTAGTCAAATTCAATGATAGCACGGCAGCGGGTGACCTGGAGAAACGGAAGCCGTATTGCTTATCCGAAAGGAGGTTATGTGAAGTACGATGCTTAACCGATTTGGCGTCGATTAGAGCCTCTAATACTTTGCCAAAAAGTGGTAAGAGAATAATGTCATATGGCAAGAGACCAAGAAATCAGGTAGTTAGCAAGAGTTCTTAAAGACAAGAACTACAGAAAAACAAGATCGAAAGCAAGAAGTAGCGAAACTTATTGTAAAGTTTGGAGAGAGCAGGAACCAATTCAGGAGCGCATTTTTAGAACAATTCTAGGGATACTATCTAATCTATAAGTCCTGTGGGATCTAGTTTAGATAGCAGAAACCATGGACAGATTTATGTAATTTCACTACGTAGAGAACCTGTTCTAAGCGGAAAATGAGACAGAAATATCCTGGATTAGTCGAAAGTGAAGATGGAAGATAATTTGCGGGCAAAGCATTCTGCTTAATTTGCAGTCGATGACAAGCGTTCAAATTGATTGAAGAGAGGAGGGACTCTGGATTTGCTATTTTTCAGTACACTCTTGCAGAACCGCAAGTAGGTACAGAACCAAACTTGCAAGAGGCTATACGGTGTGTCATCCTAAGCGAATAGTGACTTTACCACTTTGAAGACACTTTTAGATTTCGAGCTTTGACAAAGAAACCTCTGTTACAATCGGACCTGTCGCTCTGGTATAGCTGTAAGAAGTAATTCCTGTGGGCTATAGCGGCTGAACAGACAGAGAACCGTGGAAAAGATTGTTGTTTTTCCGTGATGGTCGAAAGATTCAATGCCGGCTTCCAACCAGAAATAGACCCCAGCAAGATTATTAAAATATAAATAAAAGGGGAATCAAGAAGGAAATTACGAAATGAGTCCCAGTTAGTGCGTTGATAAGAGAAATATGTTCTGTTAATAGCTTGATGGGAGACCAAAAGGAGATATCTATAAACATTACTGCTACGAACGCCACGAATTTTGGAGAAATAAAGGTTTGGGGTCTTAGATGTTTTGTAAGTTTTTTTTTTTTTTAGTTTTATTTCATTTATTTGTTTCATCCATGATATGTTTTTTCAAAATGGAAAAGGCAAAGAATAATAGCTACCGGTCGTCAATGACAACATGTGCAGTAGGGAAATTGCCGTAGACTTCAGCATAGTGTGGTATCTTTTCTATATTTTGTATAGTTTAGTTCGTTAAGGAACCAGGTACCTTACGTTTAGTCAGGCGAATTCAGACCCGAGTCCGCATGCCCGAAAGTCAGATTTGGTTGATTAGTTGATATTGTTTAGTGGCATATCGACACCTCTATGGATTATTTAATGTCGAAAATTTATCCCTTCAGCTAAATATATTTTGAATGCAATTTTATGCCTTCAATTACAGATAAAATGTATTTTTGTTCATTCAACTATAAACTGTATTGCTTGTCATTTTGCTTTAAAAATGTATTGGTAATTTTACTATAAAGAGATATTCTTCGTAATTTTACTATATAAACATGTATTGATGGTATTTTTACAATAAAATGTATTATATAATTTGATAGTGTTTGGGGGTTCAATATTTGCCCATAGCTGTGGCCCTAACAGATGCTACCACCTTGGGTCAGGGTTGACCTGAAAACAACGCTCCTCAAAACCCCCAATCTACCGATCACAGGACATGCTGCCGGGTGTAGTGTATCGTCGTCCCCAGGACCAAAATTCTTGTGTGGATGGCATCTTTAGAATTAGACTTACATATTATAACATGTATAAACCTAAAGAATTTCTAGATAGAAAATTGAAATTTACGTCATTTTATAAACAAACGTCTTTAGAGCAGACTGAATCACGAGAAAATGAAAGTAAATTTATGATGAAACTTTGTCGGAAATTTGAGGACATTATTGGTGCATTGAGAAAAGTTGAAGGAGATAATTCACGAAAAAAAAAGAAAAGAAATTTACAAATAGATAACTTGTTTCCCAAAAGAAAGAGATGGAGTTTAATAGGATAAACTGATCAGTAGATCAACATTTTGGCAAGAAAAATTGATGCTGTTTGAAATTTAATTGAGAGTGACCGACAATAAGTTAATAACAGAATAAAAGCTAAAACCCCTCGTATCTTAGTCAACTCAGCACACACAATTGACTTTGTTAAATTAAAAATGAGTTAAGTTTCTGGCTGTTGTCACGAAAAATTGTTGCATCAAGATCAGCAAAAGACATAACATGAATTTTGAATAGAAATTGTGAGCAAATGAGATCAAAATCCTAAAGGCTTTTCTAAAGTGAATTGTAAGAGGAGATGAAACATGCTTTTACAAATACGATTCTGAGAAAAAAAGGTCAGTCAAAGCAACGGTTACCCAAAGGTGGAAAGGACAAAGTCAAAGAAAAAGCAGACAAATAAAGGGAAAAGTTTTGGCAACAGTTCTTCCGCAAATACTATTGGTTATTTTTAAATAGTCTTTCACAAGGCTACAAGCGGTGGGTCACTATACTAGAATTAAACATCGCACACGAATAACAGTCTGCAAGATAAAATTGCTCGTCTATCGTTTTACAGAATACGCCTTGATATTTACTAAATTTTGCTTTGTTAGACATTGAGAATCCTACCTCAATTGTAGAACAAAATCCTTTGTATCAACTGAGAATCAATCTGACTTTTCCATGGCAAAGATATATATATATATATATATATATATATATATATATGTGTGTGTGTGTGTTTGTGTGTGTGTGTGTGTGTGTGTGTGTGTGTGTGTGTGTGTGTGTGTGTGTTTTGATTGTTGATTGTAGGGGAAAGATGGCGATGTATCGATTAATTTATTTCGAGGCAAGCCGAACGCGACGCCATAAAATGTGGGCTAATATCTTTCTATGCAAATTCGTTTTTCTTTTAGGGGCAAAGAATCTTCGCACTTTTGATTAGCTGACCTTTGATTCGGAAGCTCGTAAATAAACATTTCGAATGAACCTTTCAAAAGGGAAAAATGTCAGTGTCAAGTTTAGGCGTTCAGAATTTCTCTTTCTGTGTGCAACGGAATTTTACCTCCGCGAATAGATTTTCACCAAGCATGGGATTATTAGAAGTGATATTGGGGATATTATATACGCTACAACGTAATGGCGTACGTGCGTAAGAAATTTGTTGAACTTAGTCTGGCACAAGGCTACAAATATGGGATTCCCGAGGAGGAACAAACGATATTTGCTAATATTCTACACAATTAGATCGTTAATCATCATTCTACGCTTGACGTCTTTAGATATCTACCAATTCTAGTTTGATATAAAGGTATGGTTAGTGTGCAATTCATTGACTTGAACAGCCAGTATTCAAGTCCAATAGCTGTTATCGCTCTTGTCATTATTGATGAGGTTTCCTTCCTAAACTTATGTTTGAAATAGTGTGGAATATCGACATCTTGATCATAGCATTATTTTCTCTTCAAGTTATATGTGCTGTCCATTTTAGCTGTTGGAGTTGTTGAAAGTCTACAAGTGTTTTGTTATCTCGACGATAAAAATGGAGTAGGCGAGTTATGTAAAAGTAATACCCGTGAGTAATTTATTAATGCAATTCTCCTTCCTCCTTGTTGTAGGTGTAATAACATGGCTTACTTGTACTTCTACCCTTGGTAGGGTAATTAGGCAAGGAGAAAGGAAAACGCTGAATTCAAAACAAACCTGGAAAAGATCCAGCACAACCAAACAACTTTGCACAAAGGCATCCATTACTGCTGTAATTAAAATTTGAAAATGATGAAATTGATATAGCAGAAAAAAAAATCCTACGATAGGAAAAGTCCTGTGAAGAAGCGTAAACGCAATATTTGAAATTGAAGAAACTGACATATCACAACATCCCCCCCCAAAAAAAAACACTAAATATTTGATAAAGTCAAGCGATAACCGAAAGTTCTCAAGCTTAGGATAATTATATTAAAATATGTATCGGAAACCAGGAAAATGATTCGAAATATATAAAAACAAATAAAATATCCAACACAATAAACTTTCCTTGATCTTTAACTAGACATGTATTAATATTTTTCCCTTAATACACACAACATATATATATATATATATATATATATATATATAGAAAAAGTTGCAAATTAAAAAAAAAATATTGTTTTATTTTATGAAAGTATTTATTTATTTATATATATATTTGATATTTCAGATTGCCCCCAATCTTTCATCAGAAATAACTATTTATTACAAATAAATTAAAATTACTGTTTGTTAGCAAACGCGGACGTCACGTGATATGGAACGTCACAGTTCGGATATTCCTAACTTAAATCTAACTGTAATCTAACTGTAATAAATATTTTAAATGTTGTTTAAAAATTTTTTAACTATATCTAAAAAATGCTTAACTATTGAAATATTTATAAAGATATATATATATATATATATATATATATATATATATATATATATATATATATATATATAAACAAAACTAGAACTTGTAAAACTTGGGATGACCCATGCCCTTTATGCCTACATGAAAAACTACACATTATTAAGCTTCTAAATAATAAAAAATCTATTAAACAATAGACATGAGTTAACGGTTTTTTGCCGACATCATCAAATTTTTGCATTGGATAATTAGCATAAAAACAAACAAACAAACAATAAAATAATTTTTAAAATCCATAGTCCTAATAAATAGTTTAAATGCCCTACAAAAAAAAGATAACCCTTTATGAAGTCGTCAAAAAACAAATGTTACGGCAGTTTTTATATACACAAAACCCTTTGAGAAAAAAATAAAATAAAAAAATCAAAAAATCTCCATAGACACGTAAACCAGACTAGGCGAAATCACCTTCCGTTTTAAATTTAGACACCCCAACCTTACCCTGACTTGACATCTGTGAATGTAACTTTATACTGATACAAATTATTAACACCTTACAACCTTTTTATTTAAACAATTGCTTTAGCCGTTACCATAGACATTTTGATTTCAATAATAAATATGCTATTAAAACACATAAATTTCAGATATAAGTTATTCCCCCCAAAATTTCGCTTGAAGATGGAACAGAGCTTACTTTAATTCAATTTAATTCAAATAATTATATTGAAGTTTTCGGCTCTTGTTTTGAAACATGAGAACTCTTATGTAGCGTGTTGGAATCATATTTTTAAATAAATAATTATATATATATATATATATATATATATATATATAAAGTGGACACATGGCGACAGTCTGTTTCATGGTTGAACGCAATCGGGGTGGCGGGTGATTGAGATAGCGTTCAAGTATGAAACAGACTGTCGCCGCATCGTGTTGACTGTTCTATTTTATATTAGATACACTTGAAACTATATATTTTCATCATATCTATCTATCTATCTATCTATCTATCTATCTATCTATCTATCTATATATATATATATATATATATATATATACACAGTGATTGGGCTTTATTGTTAATCTGACATTTTTATTACTTCGAAAGTTATTATAATGGATATTGCGTATTTGAAATAGACGAACCATAATTTTCGAATAAATTATATATATATATATATATATATATATATATATATATATATATATATATATATATATATATATATATATATATATATATATACATAGTTTTAAGGTATGCCATATTTATGGGATAAAGTGCTGAATATCAGAGATAGAGTGTATGTAAATACAAAAGAGAACATTGAAGTCAACAATCAGAGGCGACAGGCTGTTTCATGCTAAACCTGATGGTGGCCTGATGATTGCGTCTATCATGAAACAGTCTCTGAGAGTTGAGATATATAATTTATTCGAAAATTATAAAATAAATATGTAATAAATCATTACAAAAATAGCAATTTTGTTTCAGCACTTCTAGTTGCATGTCTAGACATTCAACACCATGACTTGATAAGGCACCAGAAATCTTGAAGCAAAATGGCTATTTTTGTAGTGATTTTATAACATATTTATGCTGTATTAAGTTACAGTCAGCGCCGTCTGTCTAACTCTCTGCATTAGCAGGGAGGAACCCGGACAGGGAGGTTGACAGGCCTCGAACCCGCCTGATGGCTATATTTTTGGCCGCGCCTACGGGCTCGGGATACCCACATTAAACTCGGCCATGTGCCACATTCGATCCTCGTGGGGGGATAGCTAAATATTTATAACATATTTATATTATAATTTTCGAATAAATTATATTTGCGCTACTGTGTATTGAGCACTCCTTTAAGAATAGTATTTTTTGGTTACTGGAATTTATTCAGTATGCACCAATCCTATACTTGGATATATATATATATATATATATATATATATATATATATATATATATATATATATATATATATATATGGTTGTGTGTGTACATGATAACTGCTAGCGAAAAATACTTTATTAAATCAACAATTTACTTTGTTTTTATACATTTATACAAAATTTAAAGTGTTCGCATCAGCTTTCTTTTCAAGTACCTTGTGTTGTAATTGCAGTAATAGAGAAAGAATATACTTTAGGAAGCAAAGGATAAACCTCTGCTCCTGTTCAAAAGTCCGGGGGGGTAGGTGAACCAGAAGATAGCCATACTTCCTCCACTTAATTCTTCTTCCGGTATGATATATATTTATAGACAACCTAATAGTTACAAAATGAACTCAATTGTTACATATTATGTACAATAATTTACCCCCCCCCTGCGGCAAGGACCCGCCATGCGACTTACCTAGTAGCAAACCACTTATATTACCTCCGTATTCCATTGATGAGAAGTAAATTCCACTCTAACAGCTTCTTTCTTCAAACCACTACTCTGTGGAACCAACTCTCAAGGGGAGCCTTAACCTGTTCAAGTCTAGTGCTGACCGTTATCTTCCCCCTTTATCCACAGAAAGTGCCTCCTAACATAACCGTCTATCTACAGTGGCCCTCCTCAGAGCCTTATAAATGGTGGACCTTACTGCAAAAAAAAAGTAGAACAGTCAGTTATGATAAATTATGATAAATAATGATGAATATAAAAATATTTTGCTCTTAATGCTAAAAGTTATAAGACTAAAAACGTCTTTTTTTCAAATTTAAAGCATATACAGATGTTTGTCGAAAGCAACTTATCTAAAGAATCAATGCATTTATGAAGCAAATTTTGTCTGTGATTCTATGCGTGTGCATACGTATATGAAAAATTACATCGTATATGTACATTATTTTCTATTTATGTATGAGTTATTTATTGGTTCTTAAAATAATGTCTACGTAAATAATCTTTACTAAGTAGAAGCAACTTTGGTATCAGGCTTCATGAAAACGTATTCACAACTATTTTGAATAACGTGTAATTTACTGTTATATTGTTCAGTGAGCAGCGTTCGTGAAACTATGTTAAATTGGATCGTTGAAGATAGGACATATTTTGCCTAACGTTTGCCGCCATGATTGCTTGTTATAAATTCTTAAGACGAGGGAATGATAGGGAGATTCAGAAACAAAAGAGAGAATAGATTGAGAGTGAAAAGAGAGCGAGAAAGAGAGAGGGAAGTGATGCTTTTGTCTTTCATCTTGCCCCTCTTTTTGTTTTTCTTGCTCGTCTTCGAAATCTTTTTCTCTTTTTCATCTTGCTTTCTTCTTTTTCAAATCTCCATTTTGTATATCTTACTTTATTCTCTTTAAAGTTTCTTTTCCTTTTTGCTTCACTTTTATTTTCTCTCCCTCACCCTATCACTCTCTCTCAATGTCCATCTTTCTTTTTTCCTCATGTTGATGATGATGATCTTAATCCCTCTTACGTCAGTCATAAACCAGCGTCATCATCATCACGATAATCATCGTCATCGGTTTTCCGATTTAATCATCGTCATGACTAACTTTTTCATCCTAATGATTTTCTTCGCTGTAGCCATCATCTTATCTTTCATAATATTTGACTTTCTACCCTTTTTTTTTTAACTAGAATTTCTCTTCCCGACAACAACAGAAATAATAACAGCAACAACAGCAATAATAATAATAATAATAAGCTCACGGGTTTTAATTTAGGCTTCATTATCAGTTGACAGATCTCGCTTCCTACGGTCACAAAAGGCCACAGACCAATTCCAAAGACTTACTGCAATCCCATAAATTCCTGGTTTTTACGTGCGTTCTGGATAAAGTCCCATCTTGTCAAAATACATTTGTTAACTTCCCGTACACAAGAGCACTATTCTCTGCTGTACTCTTGGGTCAGCTTTTCAAATAAGAAGAATCGTAGACAGGAGGCTGAGCAGTCATTTTGTTGACTTTTCCAATGATATATGAACAAATGTTTAACTCAGTGAATGGTTTGGACTGTTTGAAAAGAGACTTGCTATCTGAAAATAAAATGATGTAGAAATTATATCGAGACTACTAGCGCACGTTTCTTATTGGCTCAGTCCTTAAAAGAGGTGTTTTTTCTTTTCTTTAATCGCGATATTTAGACACGGATATCTTCAATAAATGAGAGAACAAATACAACTATGCAATAATTCAGCTTGATTTGGTGATGATGATAATCTTAATAAAATATTAATCATGATAAATATCATTAGTGTTGTTAGATTTGTTATCTGTATACAAATTTTATATAGTCGTAGACAAAGAAACAGAACAAGAGCTTTATAGTTCGATTTTCATTATGTAAAATTTTCTGTCAAAAGCAAAAGAAATAACTTATCATCATCGTAATGTTTCTTTATTTCTCTTCTTCATTATCGTTTTGATAATCTTTTACAATCATCACCATCTATGTGCTGTGTACATTCACGACGTAGGAGATCATGACTCTCCACTATTTCTTGTCCTTTGTAGCTCTTAGTAAAGTTTGTCTTTTTGCTCTCCTATTTCCTATTCTGCTAACCATAAGCTTCAATATGACTTCAAATAACAACAACATCATTACCATCATTATCGCTCTCATCATCCTTCACTTTATAATTATCATAATTTTCAATATGATTTCCATCAACTCTATCCTTCTTCTTCATTATAACCATCATTATCACCCTGTTCATCTTTCTGTTAATAACATTATTTTCAATATCATTTCTATCTTCTGTCTTAGTATCTGTCTATATATCTGAGATGAGGTATTATGTACATTATTTACATTATTCACACTATTGTCCTCATCTTTGTCGCCATAAGGCGTTAGTTAAATCCAGTGACAGGACCCAAAGAGTGTGAGTTCAATACCCGGCTAAGGTAGTGGAGAACTTTCAGAGGGAAATTAACAGGAGATAACTGATAACTGACATCCATTAAACATGGCACGTGGAACTAGAACAGTCTACCCCATTGAGCGAAATAAAGGGTTCAGTTCGACATTCCACCCACCTGAAGAAGGCCGGAGCGTACATCGGTCGAAACGTTGTAATGAATATGGCGATAAAGATGAGGACAATAGTCCGAATAATGTAGATAGTATATAATACCTCATCTCAGAAATGTAGACAGGTAAACACACACACACACACACACACACACACACACACACACACACACACACACACACACACACAAATTAAAAAAATTCTTTTTAAAATATAGGTGGTTGATGAATTGTACTAAGCTTTTACGTTTATAATTAGTAAATATAGCTTTTACTTAATAACAATATCACCTAACCAGAACAAATTAATACAGAAATTTAAAAGATTTAAACTTTATAAATTATTTTAATTCGAATGTTTTTCAAATGAAAACAATTCTTGTAAAAATTCGTTATTAATAGAATACTGTAAATTCTGTCTTAGTGTTATGATAATATTATATCCCTCAGCCAGGATTCAGTGCATTCGTATACTTGTAAAATCTAGAATAACTTATCATTATAACTTATCATTGTTAAAGATTCCTTCCTTTTGTATCTACAGTTTTCCATATTCTTTGAATTTCTTTCATTATTCGTTTTCTTTATTCTTTCGACAAACGAACATTTATCATGCTGAAATCACGCTGCCAGAGCAATACTTATAAAATCTTGCCAACGAAATCAAATTAATAGATTAGCAGTGTTTTCTAGTTACAAAAAGTAATGTCAATCACCTTCCGTTTTATTGCAATTTGTGCTCGAACCTTCTTTAGTTAATATTTCAAATAAAGGAGCAATGCCAAGCGATATCGAAAACCGGCCGTCAAACCAATAAAATAGGTACTCCAAAATCTCACACCGTGTGCCTGCAAACGAGAAAATGTGTGACAGTGGTGAAATGAGAGTGCGTGTATTGATTTTTGGCTTTTGTCAGTGGCAAAAGGGCAGCCATGTTGAATATCGCTGGTATTAGGTTAAAAGGTGGGAGAGAATTTAAAGGCAAAAGTTTGTTTGCAGGTTTTATTAATTTCCGAAAGAACCAATTAATCACTTTTCCTGTGTTTGTCTCTTTACACGAGTAATCTACTGGAAGGATTGTACCTGCTACAAATGTTCAAGAATGCTTATGTATTTAGCTGGAGAGCTATGTGAAAGGGAGAGTGTTCGACTACTTGAAAAACAATCACTGGCCAAACGACAACTACAGCGTTTTCAGCGACAACAACTACGTCAAATATATGATAATTATTCAGAGCTTATGTGCAATGTCCGTTTAGAACCTTGGCGATCATGGCTCTCCACAATTTCCTGTCCTTTGTAGCTCTTAGTAAATTTTGTCTTTTTGTTATCTCTCCCACTTCCTGCTTTACCAAATATTTGTACATGCTCGTTAGATATGTAATGTTTTTCTCTGTCTTTCTTGACTTCAATCTGGCCCGTGAGTGTCAAAATTTCCAAGCCTTCTTTGTCAATACATGGAAGAATAAGAAAAGTCTAATAATCCGCTGATTTTCCCCTATCCCACTTTTCTTATAATATGTACCCCTTTCCAAGGCCCTAGAGGAAGAAACCTCGTCGATTTCACAAAGCAGCCCTTAATATTCTGTGAGTATCAAATTTTCTAAGCCCACTCTTCTTATTATGTACCCCAGAAATAGGGATATTTCTTGCTGATTCAGATAATGGCGGAATAAACAGAATCAATAAATAAGAAATACAAACGAATAATTGAAATAAATGTAACTGCGCATAAGTACGCAGATTGAAGCCGTTTGGCTCAGGTTGACATTGATATCTGTCACACATAAAAACTAAGATATAAAATTCTTGTTCTACCCTTGTTTATTGCTGTGCTTGGAATTAAAGTGTTGTCATTTCACCACACCACACCACAGAGTTTTCATTAGCCATCATGGTTTTTGCAGCAGTTTTTGGTCGATAGCAACATTGCCCAGGTCCGACAACCACCATATTCACCGGTTCTCTCACTGGGTGCCCCCTACTTTCGGCCTTGTGCCACATCTAAACTACGCTTGGAAAATCACTATTCACCAGGTATCACTCTTTGCAACTTTTTTCCTCTTCAGAAATCCAATCTCACTTGAAAAGGACAAGATTTTAAGAGTCCAGGAAATTCAATAAGACGATATAGCAAAACAAGAGTTCCAGAAATGCTTCCATCAATGGAAAAAAATGCTGGTTAATGTGTGTGGCTTCAGAAGGGGAGTACTTAGAAGGAGATTAAATGGCGAATTGATATGTATTTTAGTTTTCCTTTTATAGCACCAGTCGCGATGTTATTTGATCAGACCTTATAGTATTATAATGTTGTTCACAAACCCCAAGAGCCACAAATGTTGATTGTTACTGAATAAGATTTTTGTATCGGTGTAAGACGAGGAAATAAGAACCGTTTATTATGAAGTTATGTGGGATAGGGACTCGAATAAGTTAAGATCGTAGTGATTGGGGAAGCATTTTCTCAGGAGTCTGTAATAGTTCTTGGGAAGAAGCAGTTTGAGTGGAACATCATCCTTACAAATAGAATACGAAGGGAATAAGGATGATTCTACTTTATGTACGAGACATGGTGGATCGTAGTTTAAAAGTATGAACTGCTGTAACTAAGGAATGTAACTAAGGAATCTGAACATTTCGCATAGATATATCAACAGAATGAGAGAAAGACTGGCAAGCTTCGTCTGTGGGAGCGGAGTTATAGGGCGACTTAATTCAACAGCCTCAAGGCCGTGTAAAAGAGTTTGAACTCTTGCAAAGCTGAGAAGCAAGGACTTAGGTATCATCAGCCAAATACGTTATTGTTAATAATAACAAAAATGATATTATAAGCTGCATAATTATCGTATAAAAGTACAACTTGAATATTTTAACAATGTTGTTCGATGAAGGTAAATTTTCTTTTGAAATCATTGACTTGCAGAAGAAATCGGATACCGTGTATATTCAAAAATAATATTGATAATAATGTCACGTAAATTATGGTTTGGTTCTGTGAGAAAAATAGAAAAAGAATCGAAGCATTTTTCTACATTTGCAGCTCAGTGTATCAAATAAAATTTGCCCGCATCTAACATAGAATATCTATAGTATAAGTAATATACTATCCGAAACTACATTCGGTTGAACGTCTTTATTAGAAATATCAATAATATATATTCATATTATATTTATAGTATAATTATATATTTATATAATATATCGTCCTGGGTATGACGATAAACTACGTCCAGCAGCAAGGCTTCTGATCAGAAATTTTTGAGGAGCGTGAAACCATCTCTTAATTGCTGATGTTCCCAGGTCCATCCTTAGCCGGGTGGTAGCACCTGTTAAGGTCCCAGCAATGGGCAAATAGTTAACCACTAAATAGGTGGTAAAAACACTATAAAAGTGTAAAAATCGGTTTTAATACCAGAAATACTTTGTAAAAAATTATTACCAGCAATACATTTTTTAAAAAATATTAGCAACAATATTTTTAAAAAATAAATATTACTAGCAATATATTTTTGAAAAAAATAAATTACCAGCAATACATTTTTGAAGGAAAAATATTATCAAAAATAGATTTTTGACAAAACAAAATATTACGAGCAATAAAAATTTTGTCAGCATTAAATGACCCATTGAGGTTGATACCCCGTAAACCAAACCAAACCAAACTAAATCATATTATATAATAATTATATATTCATATTATAATATTATATTCATAGTATAAGAGATAATAAGGACCAATATCCTCAACTACATTTGGTGAATAAATTGAACGCCTTTATTACAAATATCAATAAGTTTAAAACTATTGATATTTTATCCATGATTTAGTGGTGGCGGAACGGCCTTTACAAATATAGCGTTTCTAATGAAGGTTTTGAATATTTATGAAGTTTAGACCAAAGGAGAAAGTACCCCGTGAGAATAGAACTCACTACACGAATGAATGGTTTAATTAATAATCAGGTGTCTATCCATCAGTATAATCTTTAGGGGATTTCGAACTGAATCCTATATTTATCTATGTGTATAGATTGTTTTCATTTTGGTGTCCATGTCTAAAGAGTAATAGACAAGTTATTCCTAGACATGGGCACCAAAATTAGAACAATCTACACCCATAGAATAAATATAGGCTTCAGTCCAAAATCACCTGAAGATTATGCTGATCGATATGCACCTGATTCTTAATTAAACCATTCATTCATGTGGTGAGATCGATTTTTACTACTGCTCAATTATTTCTCGCCCCGTTTTCACTGAGTCAAAGTAAAAACTATAAATAATGTCAATAATGAAAACTCATCCCAGAAATTCAGAGAGAAATCTCGAAAGCTACTTCTTTTAATCAATTTACCCTAAGCAAGGCGACAATGTCACTAAAATCCAAGGAGCTAGCAGGAGTGAAAAAGAATTAAAAATAATTTAGAAGGAACTGGAAACCCAATCCTATACAGAAAACAAAAGATAAACCTCTGCTGCTGTTCAAAAGATAGGAAGTGGGGTAGACTGCTTCTAGCTGGGCTCGAACACCGGTGTCACCGGTGTGAATTAGGTAACTACCTCAGTAACAAGACAGACTGAGACTAACACGGCATCTTATCTCTCGCACAGAAGTCAATTTGTTCCTGTATTAGTTTGGAAGGAAAGTTCTATCGCATATTTACTATGATCACTTTGAGGCTATAACCATATTCAAGGAAAACAACAATGGTTAGCATGTCCTGAAAAAGAAACTCTAATCTCAAACAATAATTACACCCGAAAAATGTTTTGTGTTTGGTGGAAGATGTATGGTGTCGTCTGCCATCAAGTGTTAAACGAAAACGAAACTAGTCCTGGGTATGACGATAAACTACATTCGGCAGCAAGGCTTCTGATCAGGCGATTGAGGAGCGTGGAACCCCCCTCTTAATTGCTGTTGTTTCCAGGTTCCCTATAAGACAGGTTGGTAGCATCTGTTAGGGTCTCAGCTTGGGGCAAATAGTGAACCCCAAACAAAAGCCAAACGCTATGAAAATATAAAAATACATTTTTATAACGAAAATACAAGCAGTATATTTTATAGCAGAATTACCAACAATACATTTTATAGCAAAATGAGCAAAAATACATTTTATAGCAAAATGAGCAAAATTACATTTTATAGCAAAATGAGCAAAAATACATTTTCTCTGTAGTTGAAGCCATATAGGTGAGTTCAAACTATTTTACATAACATACAGAGGTTTATATGCCGTTAACAAAATCAACCAACAGCCGAAATGAATCTTTAAATGTGAGGAGGTATTGCCGTCAATTGGAAGCATTGCTCAAACTTGCAGAAAGAGCACCAATCATTTCTTCATCGTAAAGACGTGTTGCTCTGACATGATAATGCAAGTACATATATTGTCCAACTCACTCAAGAAAAGATTATGACACTAAATATAGAGGTTCTGCCTCGCCATCCTTATTCTCCTGACATTGTGCCACCTGCCTATCATTTTTTCAGATCATTGAAACATTATTAGGAGAGAAAACAATTTGATTTTAAAAGTTTAAAACAATATTGAGTGTTTCTTTGTATCAAAATCTGAAGAATTTTAGCCCGAGGGAACAATTTGATAAATAGATGGGATTATGTTATCGATAATGAAAGAAACGTTATATTGATTAAATAAGACCAAGGAACGATTTATTTCTTTTCCATTATCAAATGTCACAAGATGTTTTCCCTAAACTAATTTATATGAAAAAACAATGAACATTAATGTCAAATGAAAAACAGTTCAGTCTGTAATTTTCAAATGAAATGCGCCCTGGGTAAAACGATACGCTACATCTACGTCCTGGGTAAGACGATAAACTACGTCCAGCAGCAAGGCCTCTGATCAGGAGGTTTTGAGGAGCGTGGAACCACCTCTTAATTACTGGTGTTCCCAGGTCCACCCTTATCCGGAGTGGAAGCACCTGTTAGGGGGGTCCCAACTATGGGCAAATAATTAACCCCCAAACTGGGGTCAAAGCACTACGAAAGTGTAAAAATAGGTTTTAATACCAGAAATAGATTTGTGAATAAAAATTATTACCAGGAATACATTATTACCAGCAATATATTTTTGAAGAAAGATATTACCAGCAATACATTTTTGAAGGAAAAAATATTACCAGCAATACATTTTTTTTAATATTAGCCGGAATACATTTTTGTAAATGATTATTACTAGCAATACATTATTACCAGGAATACATTTTTGAAGAAAAAAATACCAGCAATGCATTTTTGAAGAAAGTATTACCAGCAATATATTTTTGAATAAATCTTACCAGGAATAAATTTCTTGTCGGCATCAAATAACCCATCGATGATGATATGCCGTAAAACAAAATAAACCAAACCAAAGCAAACCAATCAAATGAAAACATTCAATCAGCTGGTCTATGTTTCTGTTTCTGAAATGTTTAAACTTTCTCCTCTCTGTGAACAGAGTACGCTAATAATAAGCCGGCCACATTTCAGCATTGTTATAATGTCTCAGAACGTGCTGGAATTAGACATGAGCTATCATAGTGCAGAGTAATGGCTGGTCGATTGTATGTTAAGGTGGGAAAAGAAGGTAAAAACACTGAATTAGTGGAGTTTTAATGTCGAGTCTGTCTTACTTTCTGCTTTTTGTGGCCTGACTACAGGCGGATTTTAAAGTTACGTTGACGATCGGTTTGTCGCAAATTGGACATTAAACGCCATGGCAGACAATATCCTGTCTCACAAAGCGTAAAATAAAAAAAAATGCAGAGAAAGGTAAGAAAAACTGAAATGTCCATAACAGGATAAATAAAAATATGAATAACTACATACATAAACAGATAATTGAATAGGGGCATAATTTTGAAGGTATACATCTTTCTTTCTTTTTTTCTTTCTCTCGTTCTTTATTTCTCGCTTTTTCTTTCTCCCACTCTCGCTTTACTTTTTTCTTTCTTTCTTTCTTTCTTTCTTTCTTTCTTTCTTTCTTTTTTCCTTCTTTGTTTTCTTTTTCTTTTTCTCATTCTTTATTTCTCTTTTTTTCTTTCTACCTCTTTCTCTTTCCTTCTTCCTTTCTTCCTTCATTCCTTCCTTCCCTACTTCCTTTAGTTCATTCTTTCTTTTTCTTTATTTCTCTTTCTTTCTTTCATGAGTTTTGAGCCATGGACCATCTTAAAGACATGTCGGCATTGACTATGTTTTCTCTGTCCCTCGAGAAACGATTTTATTCCTACAGTTTATTTTAACGAATCTTTTACGCGTGAAACCTGTAAGTGCCATCATCCACGCTCTTATGACTATTTAATGAGTTCGCCACTTGTGGGCTAATGATTGAAAAATCAAAAAAAAAAAAAAGAAAAGAAAAATTGCATGTTCAAGGTAGAGTGAGAAAGAAAGAGAAGGAATAGTTATGCGATATATTGGGTAAGACAAAAGAAAAATGGAGATTAGGGAAGAGAGGAAGAGAAAAGAAATAGGAATAGTCGGAAACTGCTAAAAGAATACAAGAAGTCAGCTGACATTTGGAACATAGTTTTATACATTTTAAATGTTTTATTTCTTTAATACATGATTCTGTTTACCATTTCAAGTTTCCTTACTGTCTTTCTTTTATTTAAATTTTACTAAGTTTTTCTATTTTCTT